AAAAGTTAGTATATTATAAAAAAATAAAAATAAACCAATACAAAAAAGACAACAAAAATTTTTAAAAAATACATTTGAGAAAACTGAAAAAAAAAAAAACAAGAAAGAAAAGATGAAGAAGTGGGGAGAAAAAAGAGAGGAAAGAAAAGGAAATAGAAGGAAATGAGAAAGAAAAGGGAAGAGAGAAAAGAGGAGAGGCAGAAGGGAAGTAGAAAAAAAAAAAGGAAGAAAAAGAAGAAGGAGATGGGAGGCAGAAAGAGAGGAAGAAGAGAAAATGAGGAAACGGAAGAGAAGTGGTGATATATATAAGACTTATACGGACCGAAATCGGTCGTATAATCCTCATTGGCGCGCCAACCAAAAAATTTCAATTTTTTCAAAAAAATTTCAATTTTTTATGGAAAATTTTTGGCGCATTAATCATATTCAGACCGAAATTGGTTTGAATATAAATAAATTAGCGCAGAATCAATAAGATTCAAATTAACGGTAAAAATTTGGCGCATAAATTAATTACGGACCGATTTTGGTCCGAATATATTCGTAAAAAATTTTCCAGTGCACATTTTTATTCTTTTCATTTAAGGACATTACCATCTTCTCGTGTTCTAAATCCATTCCTGCGAAAACTAATTGCATGTACATCGACCCTATAGTCCCTTGGAATCACAAAACCATCGATTGTTTAGCTGAAATTATCTTACGATACTACGGAGTAATATCGTTGCAAAACCACGAACGTATAAGTTAAAGGTTATTAGAGATAATGTTACATAATGCTCTTTCGGAGTAATAAGCAAATAAAATTCATTTTTTTTCTTAAGGTTAACCACTTTGGCTTGCAAACATTTGGAATGTTACGGTTTAAAACAAGAGTAGAACGACTTAAGTATGAAATAACAAAAAAAAATAAAAGCTGTTGTTCATTGGAATATACGGACCGATCCCGATCTATATATAGATATACGGACCGATATCAGTCCGAATATAGGCAATCTGAGGGATTTTTTTATCTTAAAGCAAAATTAAATTAAGTATGAATATATACAGACTGGTATTGGTCTGAATATATGCAAAGAATCCAGAAGCTTCCATGCTTTTCATTTTTCAGACCGATTTTGGTCCGAATATAGTAGAAAAAATCCAAAAACTTCTTTCAGTGCACATTTTTATTCTTTTCATTTAAGGACATTACCATCTTCTCGTGTTCTAAATCCATTCCTGCGAAAACCAATTGCATGTATATCGACCCTACAGTCCCTTGGAACCACAAAACCATCGATTGTCTAGCTGAAATTATCTTACGATACTACGGAGTAATATCGTTGCAAAACCACGAACGTATAAGTTAAAGGTTATTAGAGATAATGTTATATAATGCTCTTTCGGAGCCATAAGCAAATAAAATTAATTATTTTTATTTAGGTTACACTTTGGTTTGCAAACATTCGGAATGTTACAGTTTTAAACGAGAGTAGAACGATTTAATAATGAAATAAAAAATAAAATAAAAAGCTGTTGTTCAGGGGCATAT